CTTCCTGGAGGAGGCGGGTGCCTGCCTTCCTTCCTTTTTAGGTGTTCCAGCAGGTGGAGTCTTGGCAGAAGGGGTCTTGGCAGATGGAAGCAATCAACAAAGGGAAGGCTCAGTGAGAGAAGCTGGGGTGCTTCTCCACATGAAGGACTGGATGCCAGGGTTTGTTGAAGTCAAAAAGACTCCTGAGACTGCTCAGAACTCAGGTACAAGTAACACTTGAATATGAGCACACTTGAGATTCGGCTCCTGCAGGGCCCAGCTCCTCTCCACATACCTCCCTGGGGCCACTACAGGAGTCATGGTGTGTTTTATTTGATGGCTATTGGGAAACCTGCCCTTCGTCCAGCAGGGGACAGCTTGTGTGTTGAGGTTCTGTGTTTGTCTTCTTTCTATGTCCCAATGCTGCCTGAAAGCCCAAAGCTCTCACCCCCTCAGCCTCCCATGACCCTGCTGGCTGCACTCTGGGCTGTGCCATCAGTCAGGGTGGATCTCAAAATGATTTGGTTTGACAAACTGGTCAAAAAGGTTTAGAAATACCATGTTTCTTTTACTTAGAAAAAAATGTTTTCTGATTTCAGCTACCTCTTTAGATTCACCTTCCCACAAGCCCTTAACATGAAATCCAGTGGGTTATATATTTCCTGAGCAAGTAACAGATGCTCCTTTGGTGCTGTCTAGTTGAGTGGTATTTACCCAGCGAGTATTGCTGTAGTCCCTACTGTAGTATATTTAATTTGTAAGTTGTGCAGTAAAAATCCTTGCCTTGGAATTATGCACATGAAGGCCTAAAGTCTACAGTAGTGGCAGTGGCACTGGTCCTGTTCTGCTAATGTCCCATAGTTACGTAAATGTCCTCACTGAGAAGTCTGGAAGGAGATTATATGGGAACAGGCTGTGCTAGTTTTATAAATTCTTATGAGTTTTTAATGATTTCAAAATGAAGCCTTTTTTTACTAGCAAACAGAATCAATGAGACTATGTAGTGCAGTTGTTTTCACTTATAATTTTAGCAGTAGCCTCCCTCTTTTGTCTTCTTCCATCCCCAGCAGCAGCAGCAGCCCAGAGCCTCTTGAGAACTAACTGTAGGACGCTGTGAAATCCCATTTTTAAAATGCTTTTCCGTAGGGCCAGGGATTTGGCTCAATGGTTCTTCTGCCTGCCTCGCAAGTGCAAAGGCCCAAGTTCAATCTCCAGTACCAAAAAAAAGTGCTTTTCCCACCTACGCTTTCGTGATTGGGATGAGGAGATCAGGACCCTGAAAAGGAAAAGACATCCCTCCTCAGTGGCTATTGATAGAAACTCAAAGCCTCAGAGACTTAATTCTCTGTGCAAATTATCATGAGTCGAGGTTCTCTTGCTCACACTGATTTCTTTTGTCAGTCTAGGTGAGTTTAATGAGCCTGGAAGAGGGAATCTTTGTACGGAGTGGTGTTCTGGGTTCACCAGAAGTTTCACATGAACCACTCAGGGCCACTGGCAAGTGACCTCCTCAGAAGCATAGGCATGGGGTGCAGGGAGCAGGAAAATGGGACCAAAGAAAGACTACCCTGACTTCTGCTTGCTGACACCAGCAAAGACTAACATTGACTGTCTTCTCTTTTCCTTCCATTGGATTATTTGGGGGAAAATTTAGACACCTTTACGTTTGTTTCCAAAGACAATATAATAATAATAATGCTTTTTCCAATATATTTCTCTGGTGGTTTTGAGTGGACCCCACCCCTAGCTGCAGGCTGGCTTTATTTCTGCTTTCTAAATAAGTGATATACCTGCCTTTTCAAGGTCACAGAGTTGTGTTGGGGCGGGAGTCAGAAAGCAGTTCTCCAGAATCCTGCTCTTTTTAAGAGACTGGTTTATTCTAAACAGTGACCTTGATAGTTATAAAGTGTTTGCATATACTTGACAATTAGCAAGCAGATGGTATTATTACTGCTGTTGTAATTCATAAGCAGGATCCTTGGCCCGCGTGTACTTTTGGGACATAAAAGACCCCAGGATTTGGTGGTTCTCCAGATTCACACAGGAGGTGGAAATTATGGTTTCCTGTCTTCCTACACTCCTCATGGTTAGAGCGTACAGATGCCATATGGGTCACAGGCGAGTAAAACTTAGGTTTACCTGAAAAGTAGATGTTGCCTGTGTGCCACGTCAGTAGAGATCTTTGTGACAATCAACTGGCAGGACAGCCACCCTGGGGCTGCCTGGCACACACATGCTCCTCCGAGGGTCTTTAAGTGAACTGACATTATTTATTTTCTACCAGTTGTTGATGCCTCCTGTCTGCAGAAAAACTAGTTGCTTCCTTTCCCCCAGCATCTTCTTTGCCCTCCACGTTGTAGGACAAAACCTTTACTGTCAGCATGGGTACTGTTAATTGGTGCTGACACTAACCTGTGCCTTCGGCATTCTGCCTCACATCCTGGACGTTAGGAAATTCAGTGGACTGCTTCAAGAATGGAAGTCTAAGTCCATATCTCATTCCATATTTACAGCCGCCACTTGCTAGGAAAAAAAAACCTCTTTTAAGGAGGATTGTGATTTTTCACACCCATGGAGATGTTTAAAAGATGAACTAGTGACTTGCTTCAATTACTCGGCTAATCATTTGCACATGTATTCACCTACTGCCTGTTAGGCCCTTACTAAATATCTGTTGAATGAACTTCTATACGGGTGGTTCTGTCTTTAGCATGGCTGCCCGTCTTAGGATTTCTGGCAGGGCCTGTTAAATTGGAGGCCCTTTCACTGAGTTTTTGATTCAGTGTCTCGAAAGAAAAGTGTAATTTATGTTTCTAATAAGTTTCAAGAGATGTGATTTGATAGGGAGGGCCCTTGAAAACCATTGTCCTAAAGCAGGGATTGGCAAGCTTTTCCTGTAAAAGAAGTAGAAATGTAAATATTTCAGGCTTTTTAACCAGCCCAGTCTTTGTTACAACTACTCACCTCTGCCATTTTAGCCACAGAAAATAGGTAACTAAATGAGTGTGGCTATGTTCCAATAAAATTTTATTTATAAAAGCAGGTAGTGCACTTGTTTCAAAAAAAATTGGCACAATATAAAATCTTTAAAGATGGATGAACCATATCCTTATTCTGTTTTGTTGTTGTTTGTTTTGGTTTATTTTTGGTACTGGGGATTGAACTCAGGTCCTTTTGCTTGTGAGGCAGGCGGCAGCACCACTGAGCTAAATCCCTGGCCCCAGATCCTTATGCTGTATAGGTCTCTGAAAACTCTTTGGATGAGAATGAGATGCTGGTCAAATCCCAGTGATACATTCATGAGCCTCTGTGGGAAGGTTATTAACATCTCTATAAAATGATATAATGAGTATGTAATGAAAATAGGGAGGAAGTCACTCTTTTTATAGAATCTGAGTGGTGTATCCAGGAGTGTTTGGTTATTTTTCTGTAGTCTTTAGACTGTTCAGCTTTGTGGGGGGGCAAACAAAAGGTGAATTAACTTACAGTTGAAGTCACCTTTGGAGTTCTCATAGCTCACCCACTGCGAGGCTCCTAGAAAGTGAAAGCCAGGAATGGCCTTCTTTGTTTCTCTTTGCCTTGTAGGAGCACTGGATTAGAGGAGAACCCAAGCATAACATGTCCTATCGATCTCTTGCCCTGCCCAAACCCTGTCCCTCTGGGGTCTTCATTCATTTGGTTACTGGCAGTTCTGTCTTTCTAGATGCCCAAACCACAAAGCATATTCAGGAGGAAGCATTTAATGAGGGTGTGTCCTGATATGGCCATGCTGAGTGTGAAATTGTTTTGTAGTTCAGCAGAACATAAAGATAATTTGGCTCACCGTTCCTTCTACGTATTAGTGAACAGAGTCATAAGAAGCTTGAAGCACACCACCTTTATGTGCATGGCACTCACCCTGCACACAGCATCCTTCTTAGTATTTTACAAAAATTAATTTGTTTTGTGCTCATAACAACCACAAAAGAGGGGCTACAGGTTTGCCAGTTTGCAGATGCATCAGTAAAGGACAGTTCATTTGTCCAAGGTCATGCTTCTGGGCAGTAGCAGAACTCTAGCTAGAACTCTAGAATCCAGGCTTTTAACCACTATGGAATGCTGCATATTCCTTCCCTGTCTGTAATCTCTCTGTAAATTGAGGAACAAAACTTTACTTAGAAAAACAGCTGTCTAGTTGCACTTTTTGCATTTTGTAGGGTCTGTAGGTAATGAACTTGCAATGGTGCTGAAGAAGGGTATTTCATTGTATTCCCAGTTTTCATCGGATCTGACCATGCCAAGTTTCCCCATGCAAACTTGAATTGCACTTTGGACATAGTGCTAAAGCAGCAAGAGATCCCCTTCAGTTTGGGTGTGTATCTGGTTTCATAGTATATTATGTTCCTGGAAAGCTTATACAAGAGACTTCTGGGGTCATTCAGTTTAACTTTAAAGACAACCCAGTTTTGTGCTTCCTCTTGGGTACAGTCTGTGCCAGGCCCTGGAGAACCAGAAATATTGAATTCTTTAAAATACTATGATTAGCTCAATGTGGTGGCACATTCCTATACTCCTAGTACTCTGTAAACCCCTGGACAAGTGACTTACGCTTGCTTCTTCATCACAAGTTTGAGGCCAGGCTGGACAACTTAGTGAGACCTTTTCTCAAAACAAAAAATAAAACACGGAGATAAAGCTCAGTATGAGGGTCCTTGGTCATCCCCACTGCTACAAAACAACAGCTGCAAAGCACTGTACTTGCCCTCAAAGGCTTTGATAGCAATAGGCCAGAAGTGAAAGGTTTGGTGGAAACTTTGGCAATATGCAAATTATACCTGAAAAGAGGGGAAACATGGATATTTGTTACATTAAAACAAGGTGGCAAGAAGTCACTGATGCCCTTTGTGTAACTCCACAGAATAGTGCTCCATCCAGTATCATCAAACCCTGGTGATGAGGATGGGGCCTGAACTTGGCTTAATCCAAAAATATGGCCCTTTCATGCCTGGAGTGAGCATTGTATTTTTTTTTCCTCTCCCTAGGATCCCAGGAGCAAGCACAAGTTTAAAATCCACACATATGGAAGTCCCACCTTCTGTGATCACTGTGGGTCACTGCTATATGGACTTATCCACCAAGGGATGAAATGCGACAGTAAGTAAGTTTTCTTTTCCTGTAGATGGTGAAGCTCTGCAGTTCATGCCCAGGTATACTGGGTGCTGAAGGTTTGGTAACTTCTCAACACAAACTTACCAAGAGGGAGAGTTGGTTCAGCTGCAGATCGGACTAGGAAAGTGTAGAATCTTTCCACTATCCACGTTCTGGCTTGTTAAACTACTTACTTACCTAATTATGAACTTTTAAAAAGGAACTTGGTTTATAAATGAAGTTGGTGTCACTTTCTTGTGGTAGAAATCTTCAACCCCTTAAAATGCAGGCTAGTCAAACCCCAAAGAAGACTCCCCACCTCCAGATTCCACATTTGGTTAAGCTTCAAAATAAGCTAAGCAGCCTAGTCATTATCTTCCTATGTCTCTAATTAGTGGGTGGACTGTGGAAAAATCCAGCAGGCTCTCCTTAAAACTGAAGCCCAAATGAACGTAAAAACCAGGATAACGTCTTACTTAAGTTTACTCGTCCTGCCTGTTCATAAACCAATTAAGTTTACATCAGTCTAGTTCTACATGGAATACTAAGGACCAGTGATAAAAAAGACAAAAGCCCTTTTCTTTTTGTCTCGTGTGTATCTCCATCAAATATTAGGAGGAAAGAACAATACCATGGAAACTCTTTGTTTTGATAATTCTTCAGTGATGGGATTCCCAAGACTATTCACTTAAATAAAAGTTTATACTTTTAGGACATGAAAAGGCAATCACTGAGCCCTGTTTCTCTGACAGCCAGCCAAATATTACAGCAATTCAGCCTATTCTCATTCACTAATGACTACAATAATGGCCCAAAGCTGTCTATTTGTTTCCTAGATGGAACAAGCACTATACATAAAGATTGTATGTGAGCATTATGGAATAGATGAAGATTTCCTTAGAACACTGGGATTGTTCACTGTATAGTTTAACAGCCTAGTGAAATCTTGTCATTCAGGCCAGTAGCCTTCTGTGCTTCAAGAAACCCCAGATTGCAAAGACAGTTTGTAGGGGTTTATACAAGTACATTTGTAAATACATTTTTAATTATTTTAAAACTTGGCAAAAAAAATGAGTTATATATGTGTTATATATGTAGCAGCCTTAGTAAAGCTAGAGAGACACTGGAAAGTTTATACTGTCAGCTTCATTTTTGGGACAGAACTTGGAGTTAAATTTCTGCTCTTGCATCGACTTAGCTGAAGAGAGTGGCCTGTTCGCCTACACATGCTCTCTTCTGTTGGATGCAGAACTCATTGGTGCTGAGCAACCATAACAAAACACAAATGAAATGAGATATTGTCTAGTTATTTTCTGTTGCTATAATAGAATACCTGAGGTGAATATTTATAAATATTAGGGGTTTATTCAGCTCACAGTTCTAGGAGCTAAGAAGTTAAAGAGCATGGTACAAGAATGCAGTGAGGACTTTCTTGTTGCATCATAGGATGACAAGAGGGCTTCACATGGAGAAAAAGCAATCTGCTAGCTCAGATCTCTTTCTCTTCCTACAAGGCCATTAATGTGATCATAGGGGCCCCAGTTTCACAAACTTATCTAATCCTAGTCCCTCCCAATGTTCCTCCTTCTAAATACCATTAACATGGATTTGGGGGTGAAGTGAGTAGCTAAGAACTTAAGAGTTGTCTTTTTTTAGTTTAGAAGAGTTTATTTTTGAATATTTTTATAATAAATAAATGTTATAATTGTCATTAACTAAATTTGTTAATAAAAAACTCCATCTAGTTTATTTATTAGGATTCTGCTTTAGATTTTTGTTTGAAAAATTGATTCTACTAAAAAATATTGAAAACCACTGACCGAGACCAGTACTCTTTTGTTTTGTTGGAAACTATTTTCCTTGGACTTTGAGAGCTTTGGGGGCTCCTTTTGGGAGGAGGATAAGGAAGAAAATGAGCAGATAGGCACAAAAGCCCAGCCCTTCCACACAGACAGAGCCTGTCCTGTGTCTGCCCCTTACAAGATTGTAGTCTATGTGCAACTCTACCTGGTGGGGAAAATGTTAGCAGCCACTTGTCTGGGCCAGGCTCCAGGTGTATAGAGTTGGAAATGGATTGGAGAGAGTAAATAAGCTTCCCAAAATTGCAAAACAGTTAATGGTGGAGCCGAGAGAAGAATACAATACGGAACACTTCTGCCTCCCACCGTGCCTGTTGCCCACATTCTTTCCAGAATCTCTGACTTTTGCTTTCCTTAAATTGCCGGTTCTGCAGGGCCCTTGAAGACGTGACTTGGTTAGCTCAAGTTACATTCAAAACACAACTTTTGAGGTGTTTTAATGTTGGCTAAGCTGAGGCAAGAGTTCTGGAACAGTTAGTTGTGGGACAGAAGCCAGGCAGAATCCACGCACGCAGACCTGTGACTCCTTCTTTCCTCATTGTGTCCATTATCTTGTTCTCAGTGTTTGAGCAGAGCAGATAGGCATCGTGCAAGATGTTTTTCACAATTTATTTTGCCATGTTAAAGCTAAACACGGAATGAGGAATGGGAAGGCTGCACCTTGAAGATTGCAGAACAGCCTTGCTAGCTTCTCTTGGAGGATGTATAAGGATTGCAGTGGCCATCTCCCCCAGGAAGCCTGAGGGCATCCGGTTGGTAGAGCTGGGACACCTCATGCTTGTAGTCAGCACCCAGGATTCCTGGCGGGGTTTCTTTGGTTCACTGCAGTAAGACTGATCTTCCTTTATCCTCCCCCTGTCTCACCCACATAATGTCAGCTGTAAGGAATGGCTTCTGCCAGCTGTATATTTGTTTTACTGGGAGTAATATTTAAGTATTTGAAGACAGGCTTAAAATATCAAACTCAAGTTCACTAAAAAAAAAACAAAAAAGGCAACATTTACACTTTC